GCGGGGGGAAACAAAGGTAATAATTTTCCCGGTTAGTAATTTATGACCCGGTGTGACACTCTCCCCCTCACACACATCCCCCAACCCATCGCCCATTATAAAAAAACAATACGACAGGCCTTACCTTATATATAATATTAGGCCACACATGTGCATTTTCATTATAGTAATACCAATACATTTTAAATTTTCTTCTTCTTTGAGTTCAGACTATTGTATGTGCTCAAATAACTTAGAAGCAAAGGAGGACAAGCAAATGTTTTATATGCGCGCGAAGCGCGCAAAAATGTTTGAGTTTTGGGGATTATCATATGGCTACTATGACTACTACACACACGTGTGTTTGAAGCTAAATATAAGTTTTTTTCATTATGGTTTTATTTATTACAAACACAATCTTTAACCCAATACACATTGAAGCCCTTCTTTTTTATTTTCTTTCTCTTTGAGTTTGGGCTAGTATTCAATTAACAGAAGGCGAGGAAATGCACAAGTTAACCCTAAAATTTGTGTTTTTAATGCAAATTTCGTCGGAATTGACAAGAATCCTGTCAAAACTCCATAAAATGTACATTTTTAGAGGAAATTTACCTACTTTACCAAGAAATGTGCACAAAGCGCTTCCAATTGGACATTTTCAGGCACTTTTAGGGGTGAAAAGGCATCTTCGGTGCCGAGGAGAGATTTTCCACAGGACTTAACCCTTTGCCCCCGGTGGTTACACCACTACAGAGAATATCTGGCGGATTAGATCAAAGGCGCTACTAAACCAAAATGCGTTGTACGTCTTCTCATTTACATCAGACATATATCACTCACAAGTATTTCGCTCTAACTCTGTGGAAATTTTTTTAAAGTGGATAAGGGAATGCCAGGGTGTTGTGATATCTGGTCATATGATATCTTCCTTTTAATTCTTGCCTTTATATTTATCTTCTCTTTTTCTTTTTTCTATTCCCTTTCCTCTCCTTTTCCCCTTCTTTCTCTGCCACTGTCTGTACGTATTTAATCATATAGAGGATCCTTCATGATTTAAGCATGTCTTAATCTAACACAGCATACGCGTTGTATAGTTCTCTCGGGTTTTAATAGTGTCCAGGTTTGAATGTAGACTTATGTTATTTCAAAAGTGTTAAATTCATAGATTGGGAATTAATTTTTTATAGTATTAACATCGATAGTTTAAAATTTAAGTATGAAATAACATCACATGCTTCAACAATCAAAATGCCGAATTACTTTAGTATTTTTTCTGCTTGCACATTCACAGAATCTTTTAAACCAGTGTATTTGATAGTTGACAGAATCACATTTTGATATAAAAATGTATAGCTTATGATTATGGTTTGAATATAAACACCTGTATTTATATGACAAGACAGTATTTAGTGTGTTTACCATTATTGAATTTGTTTAATTGTACCCTACTCTTTACTGAATAAATATGATTCTTTTTTCTATAGTTGTACAAACATTCTATAGAAGTTGTATAGTTCTCTCGGGATTTAATAGTGTCTAGGTTTGAATGTATACTTATGTTATTTCAAAAGTGTTAAATTCATAGATTGGGAATTTATTTTTTATAGTATTAACATCGATAGTTTAAAATTTAAGTATGAAATAACATCACATGCTTCAACAATCAAAATGCCGAATTATTTTAGTATTTTTTCTGTTCGCACGTTCACAGAATCTTTTAAACCAGTGTATTTGATAGTTGACAGAATCACATTTTGATATAAAAATGTATAGCTTATGATTATGGTTTGAATATAAACACCTGTATTCATATGACAAGACAGTATTTAGTGTGTTTACCATTATTCCATTTGTTTAATTGTACCCTACTCTTTACTAAATAAATATGATTCTATTTTCTTTAATTGTTCGTACACTTACACTAACGTTCCGCAAACTGCGGGTTGCGACCCAGCAGTGGATACGCAAAAATATATTTGTGGGTCAAGAGCCTTGACAAAAATCACAACATTTTAGATAGACCCTTTTAGAGACCATATCGGCATTAGGATACATTGAAATACAGTTTGTTTTGTGATAAATTTCGTCGATATGTCACCTCATAACTAAGACCAGGATTAAACTTGACAAAAACGTCTTATTTGAGCGCGCATATCTCCACTCCAAGTTTTCCGCTGAGGATTTTAAGTAGCATGATAAGTGGTAAAGCATATTTTCATCTATGCCTATTAGGTTGTTTACAGGCCCGTATGTAGGTCGAGGTTGTTAAAAGGGCCTCC